ATTATGAAGACGTCCTGGAGCTCCGAACGAGTGTTTTGTGCAGATTACTTTTGCAAACACAAAAAGACTATACCAAAGCAGCGGAATTTTCGAAGTGTTGGCGAGTTGGACCTAAACTCGTTGAAGCAAATTCTTCCGCCTGACTGTTCCACCAAAGTGAGTGCGACGGACTACCTGTGCTACCATTGCTTCATGCACATCACTAAGGAGATCTCGATGCGAAGCTCAGAGCAGTGCCCTGACATATTTGCGCCAGTTGAAGAAGCAATTGAAGATCTAAATCGCAGCATACTACCTACAGATGTGTCGCCGCTGAGACAACCAAGCGTCGTAAGAAGTCTGGACAGGCCTGCCTATGTCAAGAGAAAGCAGACAGAACTGGAGCAGGTTGCTGTCAAGAATATACGCTCAAGGCTACGTATTGCGTACGACAGGGACGCACCATCGGGGTCGTCCGAACCAACATGCTCCACATGCACTGAGTGGGTGGACAACTTTCGGCAGGCCTTTGAAACCGCCACCTCTCTCCGGGAACGTTGTCAACTGCTTACACTCCTGCCGTCAACACTGACGAAGAATGAGGTTCAAAAGATGATTCCACAGGCCTCAATGTACCTCATCAGTAAATCCCGAAAACTCGAGGAAAAGCATGGCGTGTGGTATGAGCCGGATCCTTACACGAGGTGCAAGGTGAGCCCTGAGAACCTGTCTGCTGCCCTAGAGTACTTCACGAAAGACGAGCTACAATGTTCGCGCCAAAGTCCCAACCAGAAGGACGTTATCTCTGTCATGCTCAACGGAGAGAAAACGTTCGTGCCAAAGCGCTTCATGACACGCTCAATACGAGAGGCCTTCCGTATATACAAAGACAAGCATCCCGATTCCGGCGTTGGGCTAACGAAATTTTATTCGTTGCGCCCTAGATGGGTCCAATGTATTCCACACCAGGAAGTGTGCGTTTGTGTGCGCTGCGCCAATTATTATCTTTGTATTGCCGCTCTAGAGAACGTTACACGCTCAACATTCAACACTGGTGAAATGAACTCGGCATTTCTGTGCGACCCAGCAACAGAACTGTGCCTTCAAGGAGACTGTGATCACTGCCCAAAAGGCCAGTTTCTTACACTCCAGGAACTTGATATCCCGGAGGATGAAGAGATTGTTTTTGCAACATGGGAGTCCGGCGACCTTGTGAAAAAAACTTTGGAACCTGAGACTTTCCTAAAAGTCATCCAAGTGACGGTTGGAAGTTGGGTACTTCACAACAATATCCGGCAAACGCAAGGTAAAGCGATCTACGATGAAAAACAGTGCATGCAACGCGGGAGCATTGTCTTTCATTTTGACTTTGCTGAAAACTGGACCATCGTGCTTCTTGACGAAGTGCAAGCATATCACTGGAAAAAAAACAAGTTTCGATATTTACATGTGTAGTGACGACAAGAAAATCTACAAACAGCTTTGCCATCATCAGTGAGGACCTGTGTCACGACGCCGCTCACGCTTGCTTGGCTCTAGAAAAAGTGAAGGAGTGGGTTGAAGACAACGTTGCGGTATACTCGTACGTGACGTACGTAAGTGACGGCGCCGCCAGTCATTTCAAGAATCGCTACCAGCTTCACCAATTTGCAAAGGACGATTGCCCACAAGCCCAGTGGTTATTTTCTGCATCTGGACATGGGAAAAATGCATGTGACGGAGTTGGCGGACTCGTGAAGCACCAGGCCACGCTGAACAACCTGAGAGAACGTTCAGTAAGCGCAATTCAGACGGCCAGGACAATGGTGAGCGTTCTATCAAAGAAACTGAAAGGCGTGCATCTTGTATATCTGGACGAAAATGAGGTTGTTCGGTATCGTGAACAAAAAAAAGAAGAGTGGCTGACGGTGCGCGCCTTCCCTGGCATTCAGTCTTGGCACGCGTGGCGGCTCAGCAAGTCATCAACAGATGGGACCTGTGACGTATATGTAGCACGGACAGTCGGATCTGCTTGGAAGCAACTTTATTAAATGGGTACAGCGAGGAAAACCTTAGCGTAAAGTGCCGAATTTGATTTCCCAAGGACTGCTCATTTTGAATGCAGGGACATCTTATTTATCACATTTTTCTTCACGGGGTATTTAACCTACTGTTTTTGTTGGTGGTTACTAATAATTTTTAAAGATCACTATAAAAAAAATCCCAAAATGTTATCCTCCAGCAGGATAAAATATATCGGCTTGCCACGATTCATTCATACACCGAGAGCATCGAAGCTGCTCCAGTTAGGCACTATGGCATCCGTCACCTGAAATTGTTTGTAATCGTAAATACACAGCCAACCTAAATATCTTACTATTATATCTTTGTTTTTGTGTGTGGAAGTAAAGTTATTTATTTTACTCTAGATGTAAAATATACCGGAAGGTACAACTTCACACTGCATCATCTTTTCTCAAATCATTAGTCTCTAATATGATACCACTTTGTACGCTTATGTAAAATGCTGTATATAGTTTCTCCTCCCTTTTACTGTGTGACCGATCGCTCTTTTTATCAATGAAATCATCTGAATAAATGTATATAAAAGATTTGTGCAAGTTTCATGAAACTGGAACTCAGAGTCACTTCTTGTATAGGACACTGCTAAGTGTAGGCTTTGAAAAAGGACCCTACTTTGGGGAGTTGTTTCTTCTTTCACAGTGAAATGATGCGACATGTTTTTAATAGAAATGAATGCCGAAATAGAGTATAACAGGGTACCCAAATTTTTAAAAAATCGAAGGTGGCGTTTTTTTTTTAGCCCCCCGTAGCAGGGGGCTGGGTCACTTCCTTCACATCTGCAGGGGTTGGGCTTGGTGGATGTGTACTCTCTGGTCCATGCTGTGCAGCCAACTACTAGCTCATCATGTGCTAGGTCCCTTATCTGACGGATGAAAGGCCGGCACCTGTGAACAACCATTTGCTGCATGAACTAACAAATTTGTGCCACGGACTCTGCTATCTTAATTGTCCGTGTGCTCTGGATGGCAGTCTGAAAACCTCGGGTTAGCAGTGGCTGCTCTCAGGACCTGCTCCACTGGTGTGTTTCCACCATCCATGGACCTCTTTCACTTTACTGGCCGGACACCAGCAGGCCGAGGCACATGTTGGGGAGCAGCAGGGGGCTCGGTCACTTCCTTCTCATCTGCAGGGGTTGGGCTTGGTGGATGTGTACTCTCTGGTCCATGCTGTGCAGCCAACTACTGGCTCATCATGTGCTAGGTCCCTTATCTGACGGATGAAAGGCCGGCGCCTGTGAACAACCATTTGCTGTATGAACAAACAAATTTGTGCCACGGACTCTGCTATCTTGTCCATGTGCTCTGGATGGCAGTCTGAAAACCTCGGGTTAGCAGTGGCTGCTCTCAGGACCTGCTCCACTGGTGTGTTTCCACCGTCCATGGACCTCTTTCACTTTACTGGCCGAACACCAGCAGGCCGAGGCACATGTCGGGGAGCAGCAGGGGGCTCGGTCACTTCCTTCACATCTGCAGGGGTTGGGCTTGGTGGATGTGTACTCTCTGATCCATGCTGTGCAGCCAACTACTAGCTCATCATGTGCTAGGTCCCTTATCTGACGGATGAAAGGCCGGCGCCTGTCAACAACCATTCGCTGCATGAACGAACGGTTGTGTGCCAGGGACTCTGCTATCTTGTCCGTGTGCTCTGGAGGGCAGTCTGAGAACCTCGGGTTAGCAGCGGCTGCTCTCAGGACCTGCTCCACTGGTGTGTTTCCACCATCCATGGACCTCTTTCACTTTACTGGCCGAACACCAGCAGGCCGAGGCACATGTCGGGGAGCAGCAGGGGGCTGGGTCACTTCCTTCACATCTGCAGGGGTTGGGCTTGGTGGATGTGTACTCTCTGATCCATGCTGTGCAGCCAACTACTAGCTTATCATGTGCTAGGCCCCTTATCTGACGGATGAAATGCCGGCGCCTGTCAACAACCATTCGCTGCATGAACGAACGGTTGTGTGCCAGGGACTCTGGTATCTTGTCCGTGTGCTCTGGAGGGCAGTCTGAGAACCTCGGGTTAGCAGCGGCTGCTCTCAGGACCTGCTCCACTGGTGTGTTTCCACCATCCATGGACCTCTTTCACTTTACTGGCCGAACACCAGCAGGCCGAGGCACATGTCGGGGAGCAGCAGGGGGTTGGGTCACTTCCTTCACATCTGCAGGGGTTGGGCTTGGTGGATGTGTACTTTCTGATCCATGCTGTGCAGCCAACTACTAGCTCATCATGTGCTAGGCCCCTTATCTGACGGATGAAATGCCGGCGCCTGTCAACAACCATTCGCTGCATGAACGAACGGTTGTGTGCCAGGGACTCTGCTATCTTGTCCGTGTGCTCTGGAGGGCAGTCTGAGAACCCCGGGTTAGCAGTGGCTGCTCTCAGGACCTGCTCCACTGGTGTGTTTCCAGCATCCATGGACCTCTTTCACTTTACTGGCCGAATACCAGCAGGCCGAGGCACATGTCTGGGAGCAGCAGGGGGTTGGGTCACTTCCTTCACATCTGCAGGGGTTGGGCTTGGTGGATGTGTGCTCTCTGATCCATGCTGTGCAGCCAACTACTAGCTCATCATGTGCTAGGCCCCTTATCTGACGGATGAAATGCCGGCGCCTGTCAACAACCATTCGCTGCATGAACGAACGGTTGTGTGCCAGGGACTCTGCTATCTTGTCCGTGTGCTCTGGAGGGCAGTCTGAGAACCTCGGGTTAGCAGCGGCTGCTCTCAGGACCTGCTCCACTGGTGTGTTTCCACCATCCATGGACCTCTTTCACTTTACTGGCCGAACACCAGCAGGCCGAGGCACATGTCGGGGAGCAGCAGGGGGCTGGGTCACTTCCTTCACATCTGCAGGGGTCGGGCTTGGTGGATGTGTACTCTCTGATCCATGCTGTGCAGCCAACTACTAGCTCATCATGTGCTAGGCCCCTTATCTGACGGATGAAATGCCGGCGCCTGTCAACAACCATTCGCTGCATGAACGAACGGTTCTGTGCCGGGGACTCTGCTATCTTGTCCGTGTGCTCTGGAGGGCAGTCTGAGAACCTCGGGTTAGCAGCGGCTGCCCTCAGGACCTGCTCTATTGGTGTGTTTCCACTATCCATGGACGTCTTTCGCTTTACTGGCTGAACACCAGCAGGTTGAGGCGCAGCAGGCAACTCGGTCACTTCCTTCATATCTGCAGGGGTTGGGCTTGGTGAATGTGTACTCTCTGTCTCTAGTCCACGCTGTGCAGCCAAGGAAACAGCTGAGTCCTGGAAGGGCGAAGGTGGGTCCTGGAAACGCATTTGCCACTGTCAATAAAAGCCAAGCACTCTAGATCAGCAACCCTTTGAAGCAGCTGGCCGAGGAGACGCGAAGTTAATGTGGGGTCGGGCCAGATGGGGAACAAGTGTGTGTGTGTGTCTTTGGGATATGCTGATGCACACTTAAAATTATCTGCAGTTGTGAAGAAAAGGTTATTTAGGCTTAAATTGTTTAGCACTGCACTGATTTCTAAAATCTAGCCTACATAACACTTGAGCACCTTCTCAATACACATATTAGTTGTCAATTTGTTTTGCCAAGATGCAAACAGGAAAGTTGAATGTACTAATTAAAAGCCACGCAGAGGTGTAGAGCTCTTTGATCCGTCATTTGCAAAAGCATATGTGAATATGTCTGCTTTATCCTCAAAAACATCCGTTTACACTGCGAGCATCAGTGTACTCTTTAGGTTCGAAAACGCCAACATGGGAAGCCAATGTAAAAATTAACTAGGGGTGTGCGAATACTCGAATATACGAATTCGAATCGAATAGAAAGTTCCAGAATAATTCGATTCGCGAATCGAATTCCTAGTATTCGGTCACTCGAATATTCAATATATTCGGGCAAAGACGCGCAATCGCCGCGAAGCTGACAAAAAAAGCCGTTTTCCCCCCCCGATGTAAGCGCCGTGATGTTAGACAAACCATGTGAAAAACAGCTCTTGGTCCTACCATTCCACAAAAATCTAACACACAGGTTAGAAAAAAGAAAAGTAACGAACGCCACAATCTTTATAGCATGCAGATTTACTCATAATCGTAAAGCAATCTACCCTTGAATCACAACCGAAACATCCCGTTTGCGCCACTTCCAGAGAGGAATTGTTGCCATGCCTAATTCTTTTCACGAGTTAAGCCCTTCGTTTCAAATTGAAACACCGATGTAAAACACACCTGCCGCGCTCACAGAAATCGGCGACTGCACGATCACAGAGAGAAAGCCACGTTAAACACGCCGATAAAACCAGCCGAGTTATCGTCGTCGTTCTTTTGGAACCTCAAGCCGCAAATTCTGATTCGGAACGGAACGGAACGGGAAAATAGTGTGCCTAGATTTGAGAGGGTTTCGAACCGTTCGATAGCCGCGTTTGAATTACGAACTGCGAGAAGGTGACGAAAAAACGAAAGCGTCGATCGGGATCGGGCAGGCAGGGCAGGGAGAGCAGGCGTCGTCACCCTTCTGTTTGCTCGCCCTTTTCCTCGCGACAACACAACACATGCGCACTTACGACCAATCTGCACTGGAGCCATCTCCGTGGTTTCAGTTTCGCTTGCTCCCTCTTTTAAATCAAGGCTCTCTAAAACAGGATAGATAGACGGAAAAATAGATGCATAGCGGCAGTTGAACGGTGTCTTGCGCCACCTAACCACGCTTTTTTTTTTCTTACTTCAGATTATATTGTTTAAGCCTGTTTACTAAGATTTAACACCTATCTGTTTATTTACGTGAAATAAAATCCCGGGTGCCCTTTTTCTTCCTTATAATGAAAACCAAATATCGCAAAATACCCCTTTTCTGAGATATGCAAACATTTCTAAAAAAAAGTCGCGGTGTTAGGTTCGGCTTAAAAAAGACATGCGTGGCTGTAACTTTGGTTTTTGTGTGACGTTTAGGGAAGATAGATTATATTTGTGCCATAAAATTGGATCTTTAGTGCCAAACATCCAACAGCAACTGCTTTTATTATTTTTTTTTTTTTTCACCAGAATTTTTTTTACATTTTAGCTTTTGTTCTGCACAAGATGCATATTCTGCAACAGGTGCATACTCTGCCCATATAATAATCTCATTCGCAGCACACTTTGAAAAATTCCTACAAATAAAATCAGTATTCGATATTCGATTCGATATTCGGCTTTTTTTTCTTGATTCGATTCGGTATTCGATTCGAAAACTACTATTCGGTATTCGCACACCCCTAAAATTAACTGAATGAGTCCTCTTACTCCTCATGAAAAAACACTGCGAACGAGTCCTCCATCTCATAATCTACTTAAAGATGAGCAAGCTCCGCTGAATAAAAATCTTGAACTTGCCAGAAGTCTGTCTGATCTTATTTCTGAAAAATACAGATGTACGAGTCCTCCTTCCTCAAATCACATAATACTGTGAGTTTAAAGAGTTTTTGTTAGCGGTGTCTTTGCAACAAGAAAATTGAGTGATTTGACTCGCTACAATCCGTTTCAACATAACTTTGCAAAACAGTTAAATGAATGGCCTGGCCAGCTAATGACTGTAGGAGCGAGACATGCAAAAGTATACTGTTCGAGGTTGCAATCCTCTTGCAAAGGGCTGTCACATACCTCACTCAGTTGCTCCGACTGCCTTGTGAGGGATGCAGCTCTAACCTTTTTCAAGGTTATGCTGAAATGAAGTATACTGCGCTGTCGGAATAGTTGAGATAAAGCTTTAAAGCTTTTTCATCCGCGAGGATACCAGGTTCAAGTTTGAAGTGAAATATCAACCACTAATGTCAAACCAAATTAAAATCGGAAAGCTACAATGGCTTTCCTTGTACAAAATACACAGACCAAAAAAAATCTTCTGTTCGGCCCAGCGACTGCACTTGGGCAGAGGGTTTACACTGTGCCACGAGATGACCCCTCATCTAGGTGGTTAGGCAGTGTGCTCAGTATTGAAGAGATAAGGGTCATTAAAAATGCATCAAGGGGGGAGGGGAGAGGAGGGGCAGGGTGGTGCTGTCGGCATTATGAAATGAAGCAGCTGTAAAGTCAAAGGAAGTGCCACTAGGTGGAAGCACTGCATAGAGGAACACACGCAAAAAACGAAAACAAATAGCTTTTGTAAGTTACAGTCTATGCTCATTCTGAAAGACCAAAAAGAAAGTAAAGACGGGCAAATAGTCACCAGAGGATCTTGGTCATCAGTTGGCTTGGTGGCACCTGTGGTATATCCAGATGCCTGGCTGCATGATGGAGGCACTCATAGAATTCATTAGAAGAGTTTCATCGCACATGATCACTTGTGATTGGCACATGGAAACGTGACTATAAACACACTAACATACTGATGAGGAGACGTTAAAATACATTCTATGCTATCTTACCTCCAATTTGAGTGCTGGACTAGCTTTGCTTACGTTCCTGCAGCCTCTGACTTGCGTAATTGACAGAAAAAACCTTGTAGCTGCATACTAAGTAAACTGCATGACGATGCGATATACGGTAACCAATGGGAAATATGAAAAGTATAACTTTGCGGAACAGTGGAGGTGCCAGTCAGGAAGCTCAAGCTGCCAAAGCAGATCCCCTTAAACTTGTAGACGTCTGAGGTTCCACCGATACTGGGCTCTGTTCCTGCCACCTTGGCCACCTCCTTGGCATAGTTATCCCTCAGGTACTTCCACTTTGCCTTTCAGATGTCGTCTTGAGAGGAATATGATATACGGACATGATATACTCGTGCCGAAATGTGAAAGAGATGACAAAAATTCTATAGGCAATAGTAAGGCTTCGTGGGCAACAAACAGCATGCTCAAAATGCACGTCCAAAGCACCTGCACAACAAATTGAGTCCCAACCTTAAAAATGAATGGTCAAGCTCTCAAGCAAATGAGTAGTACGTTCACTGCTAGGCTGACAGGGCGGTAGAAGCTACATGCTCGTAGGAACAATGAATGAAAGGTTGCACGCATACAACGTGGTCATACTCTCCGGGTAGGTACGGGCATAGAATGCATCAGGCACTGAGCGGCAGGTAACTGACTGATCTAGAGACAGAGTACGTAGCTTTCACTGCCCCGTCAGCTTAGCAGTGATTCAAGTACAGACATTTAATACGGATCTAACATCTGCTATTTGTGAGATGCTATGTATACTTTGTGGGTCAATTAAAACAAATCTATATAACAAGAATAATAAAAATTGTTTTGGGCGGCTAGGGTACTGTAATTTATCATTTTGTTTTGTGAAATTTTGGAAAAAATGCTTGGCTCAATCAAAAGTTACAGTTAAAAATGGCGATGTTTCTCTGCGGACACAAATGGAGTTCAGCCTTTTCCATACAACCGAGGCAAAACTTTCTCGTGGGCTGAACAAAACTGAATGAACAAAAAGAGCAATAAAGTCGACGCAATGATTATCTTGCCTTCCTTCCTTCTCATTTTTGTTTGAAACAACTATCAAAACACCGGGAAGACGTGAAGAAACATAATCTGGGTCCCGACAAATATTAGTCTTGGTCTGTCAATCTTTCAATAAATAAATATTTTCCCCAATATTGTTGCAAAAGCAATCCAAAATTTGGCTGCACCCTCAGGATAAATTACAATACCATGGCACAGATAAGTGTTTGAGATAAATTCTTTTCCACGTGGTCATACACTGCTACGGCTGAAGGCACAAACATTGCCAAAAGATATGAACGTGGTTGACTTTGTCGGAGGGCCGTCTTGGTGCTTCCGCTTCATGAGACGGCACCAGCTAGCTATCAGAGCCCGCACAACAGTCTGCCAGAAACCTCCAGATGATTTCAAGGAAAAGACGGCGAGTTTCCAGGCATTCGTCAGGGAACAAATTCAAACCCATGATGTTAGGCCTAACCAAATTGTCAACATGGACGAAGTCCCTCTGACTTTTGATATCCTGATGGGCAGGACCGTGGCCAAGAAGAGCGAAAAGACTGTCAGTGTAAGAACAATCGGCCGCGAGAAATCGGATTTTACCGTCGTGTTGGCTTCTGCGCTGATGGCACCAAATTGCCGCCCATGATTATTTTTATGAAAAAGACTATGCCTAAAGACAGTTTTCCGCCCGGAGTCGTCATCCAATGTAACGTGAAAGGCTGGATGGACAAATGATGGGGCTCTGGCTGGAGAAATGCTCCCCACGGCGACCGGACGGATTCTTTCACACGAATGAGGGCCTTCTAGTTATGGACAGCATGAGGGCGCACATGACCGATTTGGTCAAGACCAACATCAAAGCGAAGAACTGCATCCCGGTCATAATTCCTGGCGGCATGACGAAGATGCTGCAGCCACTAAACATTTCCGTGAACTGCAGCTTCAAAGCTGTCCTGCGGCGTTTGTGGGAAACCTGGATGACAAGCAGGTGACCAAAGTTTCACGAAAACTGGGTGCATGAGGCACGCGTCATTGGGCGAGGTGGCCGAGTGGGTCAGTGAAGCCTGGAACTCCGTCTCCATAGGGACTATAGCCACCGGTTTCAGAAAAGCCGGTCTCATTGAATCTGTACCTGAGAGGTGCCGCTGAAAGCGACTACAGCAGCGGGCCTGACGACGACGAAGAGCCCATCGCGTTAGATCCAGTGATCGCCGCACTCTTCCAAAGTGACTCGGAAAGCAAGGAATTCAATGGCTTTATTGACTGGAAGTGTGGCAGTGATAATAAAAGTTTTGTTGACGTAGCCTAATTCAGTCATGGTTCCATATCTTGCCTCACTCCAATAACACTTCAAGGTAATACGTTCGTATTGTCTCCCTGGCTAGGCTTAGTGGGCCGCCCACTAAGCCTAGCCACTGTTGACAGGTTTCTGGCACGTTAAACTTTCGTTTGCTCAGCATGCGTACGCTTGAGTAAAGCTGGCCAGCTCATTTTGCGTCCTTCAGTTCCGAATATCCTGACTGCCCCTGCCAGAGAGTGCCGTGCTCTAGGCATTTCTCGCTAATCTAAACATCATCAGGCGTCAAACGGTACAGTACGTATGAACCAGCTGATTACCAATGAGAAATTCCGGTCTCGCGGTACCGATCAGCGTAAAAAGAAAAGCGTAAACCATGCAAAGAGGTGCGACTTATACAAAGGTGCGACTGATATATAAACTTTTTTGTAAAAATGGCTCGATATACGGAAGTGCGACTTATACACAAACTCATCTCTGTGACGTCACGGCGCGGTGGTGGCGTGTCGGTCGCACTTCCTGTCTGGGGCTGTGGGCAGAAGTCCCCATGCCAGACGTGTATTCTTGCGTTGTTTTGAAAGGAACCAGACAAAAACCTGCCTTCTTGTCAAAACGCCGCGACTGGGGCCGTACCAAAAGTGTCGAGAAAGGTTTGAAGGTCAGTTTTCATGTGCTCGGTTCGTCCGAGAATCTGGATATGTGCCGTGAAAAGGGAAAAGCAGACGTCGTCGGACTACGATTGCTTGGGCGGGAAGCACTTTGGATTGAATTCACGGATACTTGTGGTCATGAGATTTATTTGTTTTGTTCCAACATGAACGCCAGAAAACTGTAGAGTTGTGCGAACCACGTGCAGGCTACGTTCAGTGCGTCTTCAATTTCAAACGGCGGCCGGATCGTTCGAACTGTCGTCTTCTCTTTCAAACGTTTCTGCTTGTCGTCTACTCTCTTAGACGACGCCGGCCCGTAGACCAAATGTTGGTGCAGTACTTGCGGTAAGAAGTAAGCTCAGGCCTCGGAAGACTAAAGTTTGAAGGTTGGTAAGCAGGCTCGATGTAAACAGTAGATACAAGGAGATGTTGATTATTGTTACCAGTGACCATCACCAAGTTGTTATGCCTACTTCACTTGGTCCGATTCAGCTTGCGATTTTCAGTATCAACGTCGACCATCTAAGCTACGGTTCACGCTTTTGCGGCCTAAGCGGCGTCGCGACTGAAAATTGCGAACGAAATCTCATCATACGAATCAGGCTGTAGCGTACATACTGCGGCGTCCACGCAGAATCAATCGCCACATGTCACATTATTCACGCGAAGTTTTGCGGTGTAACGAGCCTCGGTAATTTCGCTGACGCCGCTCAAGTAGTCGGACATTGCCAGGAAGACGTAGAATCAACAATTCGAACGCGAAAAAGAGCAGGGGGACTCGCACAGACGCCGACTACGTCGCATTCCAATGGTTTGTTTATGGGCGACGGCGAGCTTCTTGACCACACCCCCATCGCGCATGCGCGGCGCCGGTGGCGTCCGCTTGGGGCGTTTCGGTTTGTTTGTAAACATGAGTTGGTGTATACAACAGTGCGACTTGTAGACCGGAAAATACGGTACTTAAAAGAAATGTACGACTTTACAGTTGAAAGTTACAAAAAAAGGACAAGTTAAAACATTGTGATGATACAAGTATTGCGATAGTACCCAAGACTGCTTTAGAGGTATCTGTTGGAAGCTAAAAATACACGGTGCACGAAAAGATGACATCCAAAAAGGGGGAGACAGGGTAAGCACCACAACCTAGCATTGGCCATCGTGGTTCTTGTACAAGTAATACCATCCATGATTACAATGGATCCTCGGCTGCAGCAGAACAGTATGACCTAGGACGGTACCCTGGGCAAAGGGGAGTTTTGCTGTGGTTCGGATTCACTTGTGTCAAAAATATAGTAGCACCGGCGAGGCACCTGATGCTGGAAGCTCCCACTCCTCGATGACGCTCCCAATCAACGGTACCAGGCTATTGGCCGTGTGAAAATTGATAATTTCCGTACATGCCAAAGCGCACACATGCTGTAAAAAGTTTTAGTCCATCACGTAAACAGTCACACAGACATATCTGTCTTTGGCGCGCGATATCCAGCCATCCGTTGCAATGGAATAACACTCCGCACCTCTGCGGAAAATTTCCTGCAGCTCTCTTCGCTTCCCTTTTTCTGACTCGTAGAGGTCCGGTATAACTGCTCGTGAGAAAGTCATCCGCGACGGCACGCTGTAGTCTGGCATTGCAAATGCCACCATGTCGATGAAACCTCCCTCTTCAACGACAGTGTATGGGTGCATTCCGCGACCGGTGAAGTTACCAATCATCTTCGTCATGTGCTTTGCTCTTGGTGCCTTTGGTTTCATTTTTGGCTTGAAGGTGTCGGCTACCGACAGCTGACTCGGCATACTCCCGCACTTGAGCTTGATGGTAGTTCCGCTTGCTAGACGCTCTCTCATGTAGGTCTTATGTGCGTCCGGGTGATTCTTTAGATGGGATGCTAAGGTGGTCGTTGTGCCCGTTGGAGTTTTGAGGATTGCCTTGTGCTTCATGCATCGTGCATTAGTCACCGGTGGGATTTTTAAGAAATATTCCCAGATTGGGTTGCAATACACAATGCCATCACCTTCGTTGTTCACAGTCGCTGCAGCAGACACTCCAGCCACTCGATCCAACTTTTGCAGTGAGCAAATGGAAACATACCGTTGGCTGTACTCAAGTATGCCGAGCACATGCTGTCCACCGCAGGAAACACGAGGAGAACGGACTTCATTACCCCTTTGGCTCTCAGGTAGGCTGGCGCTGCAGCCACTCTGTGTCCACGGCTCGCTTGACAGCAGCTTCTTGTCGCTGCGGTTCTCAATAAACGCTTGTGGATACTGGGATCATCGTTGGCATGGCGTACGCAAACCCAGCAGGGCGACCACCCTCGCTGGTAGCCGTCGGCCCTGTGGTTGGACGGGCATCGGATTCCCCTATGAGCAACGGTCCCCAGACGTAAAGGTATGTGATCCCCTCTCCCCACAAAATGAGGCCCAGCGTGGGGCTTGATGCATTAATGGGGCAGGGTTTAGGGCATACCATCTGCCAGCAAGGCTGTACAACGTTGGTGTAAGGGGATTACAGTCACTTCTTTACCAAAGTGTGTCATTATTCGGTTTTTCAGACTTGCATACATTGACTTGTTATATTTGACAGCGAGCTTGTGGTAGCGTCGGTTTGTTTTCCTTAGAACAACCTCTACCGCTGGACACTGAAGTAGGTGCACCACCACGCCCGTGGTGACCGCCGTGTATCTGTGTCATTTTTTTGTATGCGTAAGCAAACTCTGGGTCCTGATATGCTTTCTAGTACTAGTAAGTTTCTTAACACCTTGGTCTCTGTGTTATAATGCTATCAAATTATGTGTTTGTACATCAGCTTCATTTGTTCCTGAATGTGCCTTTCTACATATACAAATTTAGCGTTGATGTACGACATGAGATCTACATTTTCGGTTTGGAGGCCAGTTTTCTTGAGCGTAAAACCGATTCCGCGGGTCTTCTCGATGATGAACAATTTAACATGATCTGCAACATATCCGCGCTGTCAACAGACTTCTAAGGGTTTCACTAATGACATAGAATGACATGCTCTGTTCCTGTACTACTACAACAGTTAGCGCTGAAGGTCTCTCTGCGTTGTGGTCCGGTATGAGGAACTCGACCAGTCCCTCAAAGAGCACGTCAAGCTGTGACCCATAGCACTCGCTGACAACCGGGTTCCTTGCCCAGAACGTGTGTCCGTCTTCAGGGTCCACACACTGGCCTCTGTGTAGTGCGCAGCGGTATCCCGTTGGGAACCTCACTTCCCCTCTCGTCCGATCCACGGTTGCCTTCCCATTTCGATGAGTGATTGTCAGTTGTGCCTGCACAACCACGCTATGGTACTGGAGCTCTCTGTAGGAATACGAACCCCCAGCACAGGTTCCTGTCGCATCAACTGCACTGAGTAGAGTGACCCCAGATGTTGCAGTCGAATTTGCTCTGTGCTCAGGGTTCACTGGCCCTGTCTTAAACTGATACATTCCTGTTGTTCAGTGTGCATTACAACTCTCTTCAGAAACATGCGACGTAGCTTGATACACCGTTAGCTACGATACTAGAGTGAGAGTCCACACCACAATAACTGATCGTCTGCAACACTGCTACTAGACACTGGTTGTACGCCACTGTTTTGCACTTTCTCATTTGCACGAGCTGGATAGTGCGGTTCTCGTTTTTCAGCCTAGGAGAGAATGTGGGACAACTGACGATGCCTTCGGGCGAGATGGTGGTGACGTTCATGAGAGGATGTTCACAGTCGTATGCAATGATCTCTCCACGTACCTTTGCCGACAGAAACATGCACATCGCAACAAGCTGGGGAGAAATGGGGGATTGTGGGAGCCACTGGCTTCCCTTGAGAAGGCGTAAGCCGCGGACGTTCCGGGCAGTCGTCTGACTTTGAGCCTGGTTGTTCCGCATCGTGTCGGGGAGAGTACGCCACCACGCTGGCCTACTCTCTCGCACTCCTCCGCGCGTCTTCCGATTTCGGCGGGACTAATTAGCACTAGAGGTCTGGCGTAGGGCGTACAAAGAGCAGAATGTTGCCTGAAAGGAAACTTGCCTCTGGGTGTCTCTGCTGATGATCCCCCGGTTGTCTCTGTGGTCCTGGAGCCACCACTAGATATTTTTGCTGTTGCCATTCGTAAATTTTTTGAGCTGATAGGAAGTATGAGCATGTTACACAAAAAAATAATTATAATTTATGTGTAGTCTAATAATTTAATATGCATAGTACCTTCTGGGATGGATCTGGTGCCTGAGGAAGCTGAGAAAGCTCCACAGTGTCCAGCTTGACTGCCGAATCTTGTCCCGGCCAGCTCCGCTTAGGCTTGTGCAATTCCTGGACTCTCGACCATACCTGGTTTGTATGGCCTGCCATGCCTGCTTGCACTCTTCTGCACTGCACTCTGCAGTCAAGAAATCAAATATTTACAAATTAAGGCATTTACATTTTAAAGAAACGTTCTAGGCCTTAACACAAGGAAAGAAGACTCCTCTTAGTTCGAGTCACCATGGTACAAGTAATAAAAATCTTGCTATTTTTTTTACCTATATGATTTCGCTGGGTTGGTTATTTGTTTTCTGTATTGTTGTGGGTGAGGTTTGGCTGTTCCTTAATGTGGGAACCGGATAATTTTTTCAACATGCACTAAGTCTGGTTCAGAGGTAATAAATTATGTTTAGAATGTACTCTGTGTTTAACATTTGTAAGCTTGCTCATGTGCTTTTTATAGTTGCTCAAGTTTTTCATAACCTCTTCAAGGTACCACAGATTCATTAGGTACTTCAGCTCAAACAATGCCCACACTTGTGTCCCAAGAAAACAAATGCCTGTCAGTTTTGTTTTATTTATACAGGTATTCACTATACACTTCCGTTGCACGCTGCAGCATGCCACACATTTAAGACAAAAAAGTGTAGCTGCTTGCTGCAATGGGCAACCTTAAAATAGACTGCCAATACTGTTATGAAAGCGTTTATTAACGACTAGTTAATACAACTGAGAAGACCGAGAACTGAGTTCGAGTTCGACGAGCTTGCCTAGACATGGCAGGTAACAGTGCTTGCCGTGTGTGTGCCTCTCATTGGTCAACGGTCCCAAGCCGCTTGCGCGACACTCGTGCTCTCTCTCGGTGAGGTGGCTCCCTCCCGTGTAGAAGAGAAGAACTTGTCTACATCTCCCTTTTTCACTCATAAATAAAATTTGTGTCGCGGTAGCGGGCTGGTTTTTGTTTCGCTCTCTGGCTCCTGCGAAGAGCGATGCTGTTCCTTCTGCGCTGTATGCCCTCGTCGTCTTGAACAATGACAGCCGGTTTCCAGGTTCCTCGTTCTTGATCTTGAAGGTAGACGTCTTCTCCCGCGTGTAATTCAGGTAGAGGTTTGGCGCCTTTGTTTTAGTACCGTTGGTGAGTTTGTTGTTTGTCTCTCAGCCGCTGTTGTACCTTGCTTGGGTCTGTGCTCGTCCCTTGCAGTAGAGATGGATGTGTAGGGATTTCCGTCCTGGTATGTCTGTTCATGAGCCTTTCAACTGGTGATCCTAGAACTCCATCCCTGGGAGTGTTTCGCCATTCGAGTAGGGCGTCGTAGTAGTCTGGCGTTCCGTAACTGCACTTGGTCATGAGTTTTTTCGACTCCTGCACTGCTCTCTCTGCCATCCCGTTTGACTGAGAATAATACGGGCTGGATGTCACATGTGAAATTCCTCGGTGCTGCAAGAACTCTTTGAAGTCAGCGCTGTTGAATGGTGGTCCATTGTCAGTAACCAACCTGACAGGTAGACCATACACGGTAAACGTTGCCAGGCAACATTTGATTATCGTCTTGGCAGTGGACCTTTGAAGCTGGTGCACTTCATAGAAAAAAGAGTAATAGTCCTCCAACACAATGTAGTGGTGTCCCGACTGCTGAAACAAGTCCACTCCAACAATCTGCCAGGGTGCGGTTGGCACTGGATGGTTCACAAGTGGCTCCTTCTATTGCCTCGGCTTGTGTTCCTTGCACACACTGCAATTTTCTACCACCTGCTTGATGTCATTCTGCATTGCAGGCCAGTAGAGAGCTTCTTTAGCACGATGGAGCGTCTTCTCTACTCCGCTGTGCGCTTTGTGAAGCCTTGCCAAGCTGGCGCTCTTCATCTCTTCTGGAATGACGAGTCTATTCGACCTGAAGAGTAAGCCCTCCTCCTCATGGATTTCATCCCTGTACGGCCATTATGTCTTTAACGGGCCTGGAATGTCTTCTTTGTTGCTCGGCCACTGGCTCTTTGCATACTGCAGCATGGTACTCAGATCCTTGTCCCTGCTGATTGCTTGACGACATTCTTCCAGTGTTTCATCTCTTAAAGGGAGACACTCCAAGACATTCACCTCGAAGACTTCCGACTCTTCCTCCTTCGAAGGGTTTCTTGACAGCGTGTCTGCAATGTACAGCTCTTTACAGGGAGTGTACTTCACCAGCAGGTCATATTTTTGTAGGGTCAGTCTCATCCTTTGTAATCTGAGAGGACATTGATTCAAAGGTTTTCTGAAGATCGCCTCTTGTGGCTTGTGGTCCGACTCCACGGTAACGGTTTGCCCGAAAATGTAGTCGTGAAATCGGCTGCATCCATGGACAATCGCCAACAGCTCCTTCTCGATCTGGGCATAGTTCTTTTGGGCGTCATTTAAGGACCTCGATGAGTAGGCTACTGGCTGACCCTCCTGAAGCAACACTGCACCCGTTCCTCTGGAACTTGCATCCACTGACAGAGTTACTGGTTTGTTCTTGTCGTAGAACCGCAGAGTTGGTGCAACAGTCAACGCTGTTCGAAGTGCTGTGAAGCTTTTATCGTGCTCCTCTGTCCAGGACCAGGCCGCGTCTTTCTTCAAGAGTTGCCTTAACGGTGCACTTGTGTCGGACATGTGCGGGATGAACTTGCCAGGGTAGTTCACGACTCCTAGGAAGCTCTTCAGTTCCCCCACATTTGATGGTCTTGGGAGCGCAAGGATGTCTTGTACCCTCGTCGGGTCAATCGAGAGTCCCTCAGGTGACAAGATATGTCCCAAGTACTTGACCTGGCTTTGAGAGAACTTGCATTTCTCTTTGTTCAGTCTAAGGTTGACCTCACAACACCTCTGCAGCACGGCTTGCAGTCGACGGTCATGCTCCTCTTCCGTCCTTCTCCAGATAAGAATGTCATCGACCATGATTTCAACTCCGTCGAGGCCTTCAAACACCACGTGCATAGTCTTCTGGAACACCTCGGGAGCTGACGATATGCCAAAAGGCATTCGGAGAAATCTGTATCTCCCGAACGGTGTTGCAAATGTGCAGAGGTACAAACTCGGTGTGTCTAGTTTGATCTGCCAAAGCCCCGTGGCTGCGTCGAGCGTCGAGAAGAACTTGGCTTCCTCCAGTCGTGCTGCTATGTCCTCCAGTGTAGGCATGCAGTAGTTCTCTCGCATGAGAACCTTGTTGAGCTCTTGTGGATCTATGCACAGTCGGAGTTTGTCCTTCTTTTTCACAACCACGATTGGGTGGACCCACTCTGTTGGTTCTGTCACTTGTGCAATCACCTTCTGTAGCACGAGGTCATCCAGGTGGCTTTTCAGCTGGTCTCGGATGGCTACTGGGACTGTACGTGGCTGTTGCGTAACACCCTGAGCATCTGGCTTGAGCTTCATGTGATACTTGACACCCTTGATTTCACCAAGTCCATGGAAGACGTCCTCATGTTCTTTTACTGTCTGGTTGCAGTGCTTTTCCGCTGACGCCACTCGCTTGATCAGGTTCAGTCGTTCCGCAACGGGGTAGCGCTTATCGTTGTGGGTACTTCCCGTTTCACGATGTAGAACTGTACGTCGGTACTCTGGTTGCCATGGGCGACTGGCAGCATAATGCGGCCTTCCGCTTTGCTGACATGGCCAAAGAACGAACCTATTTTCGTAGTGACTGCTTGCGGTTTCTGGTTCGTGACTCGTCGCAGTTGCGTTGCAGACATAACAGAACAGTTTGCTCCTGTGTCCACCCTGCTGTCAACTGCCTTTCCTGCAACTCTGACTTCAGCTCTCCAGAACTGTTCATCACCAACACTGTTGGATAGACCACAAACCAACTTTTCTTCTTCGGAGCTGGAACTTGGAGATTTGCATCGTTCAACATTGCGAACATTCTTCCGTGGTGATGCTCTATTTTTCGGTAAGTTGTTCTTCGCGCGACACACTCGAGCGAAATGTCCCCTCCGACCACAGTTTTTACACTTCGTACCTTTGGCAGGACATGTTCCGCTTGTGTGCGTAGAGTATCCCCATTGAGGGCATGTCTCGGACTTGAGTCCATGTACAACGGCAGGCGATGCTCCAGCTTGGATATCTTTGAACTGTAGGGCTCCACGTTCCTCCATGCGGCACTTTTGAATCACTTGTTCCAAAGTTGGATCGTTGTTGATGAGGCGTTGTTGCAGTCGCTTGTTGGTCATTCCAAGAATCATTCGACTTCGCAACATGCGGTCGTGTAGCTCGCCAAAATCGCACTGCTTCGCCAGCGTGCGCAGCTCAGTAAGCCAGTCATCGAATCGTTCGCCGTCATGCTGGTTCCGTGTGCCGAATACAAAGTCCCTATAGCTCACGTTGATAGCTGGCTTGCAATGCTTTTCAAAAAGCTCCGCTATCTTCTCAACGCGCAGTTCGTCACCTGGGTTTTCGAACGTGAACGTTTTGTAGACTCGCCTGGCGTCTTCCCCTATGACGACTAGGAACGTCGCGGCCTGTACTTCGGCGTCTTGCGACTTCAGAGCAGTGGCGGTTGAGAACAACTTAAATTCGTCCCACCATGTTCTCCAGGATGTCTCCAGGCCTCCGGACATGTCGAGTGGCTTCGGAGGAGGCAGCAAACTTGCGAAGTCCCCTCCCGGCATGGGAAGTTGGACGTTCGAACTCCTGCCCGACTGCTGCGTAGTAGCGGTGCCGCTGTCTTCCGCCATTTTCTGCGCTGCTGGTCTTCGCTTGCCTTAACTCTTGCGCCGTGCGACTCACATCGGTCTTGACTTCACGTGCGAGCGTTTTCGTGTTCCGTTTCTGACACCATGTTATGAAAGCGTTTATTAACGATTAGTTAATACAACTGAGAAGACCGAGAACTGAGTTCGAGTTCGACGAGCTTGCCTAGACATGGCAGGTAACAGTGCTTGCCGTGTGTGTGTCTCTCATTGGTCAACGGTCCCAAGCCGCTTGCGCGATACTCGTGCTCTCTCTCGGTGAGGTGGCTCCCTCCCGTGTAGAAGAGAAGAACTTGTCTACAAATACTACTATGGCTAACCTAGAATGCACTAAATTTTTTTGCATCTTTATGTGCTTGATGAAATAATGATGAGACTTTGATGTACAGGAAAACTCAAAAACGACTTTTCTATCAGGATAGGCTTTTTTATGTTAGTGCGTGTTAAAACTTGGTCAGTGGAGGTGTCAAGCGACAGCAATTCAACAATGACGTGACAATTCACATGACAACGCAATAGGTCGCTAGTTAATAATGAAGTAGAAAGTTGGGCTAGTTGGTTAGTAATAAAGTAGTTTTTTTTATTATGTAGGGGTTGCTTTTAGGCATAAATGTCTTATATGTATGCTACAAGGCCTGTGGTATGGATGAATTGAAGCAATGTCTTGTGATAGTGGTTGTTATGCAGCCACTTATGGTAGCTGGTGGGTGCACTGTGTTGGAGACCTGCAGCTATAAGTAGGCGAGTGCGCTCAGTCTGTAGACCAGGACAAGTCCATATAAGGTGATGCACATCCGGTTCCGTCGCGTCTAGGGGACACTTGGGGCATGTCGCCTGTCGTGTGACGGGTGGAGAGCTCCATGTGCAGGTTACAGCCGGTGTAATGGCCACCCAAGCCCGCAGTCTCCGAAGCACAGCTTCCTCCACCCTGGTGAGATGACGGGGGAGGGAGCAGACACAGGGAGGGATAAGAGCGCTTTGAATTGAAACACATGTCCAGGTGTTATTGCGCTAATGCGCTGTTTTCACGCGTTTAAGAAACGGTGCACACAAACTAGCTTGTTGATCTCTGGTCACCTATTCACAGTCAAAATCTGAACTACGCTCGCGCGGCGATCCAGCTGACGTACTCACAATATGTACCTCACTCAAACAAAAGTTAAGAAATGAATACGTAAGAGGTTGCCGATGGTAATCCAGGAGTTGTCCTGCTTTATTCTATCGCGATAGTCGTGTCTTGATGTGTCCCAAATCCAGAGAAGCTATTCAAATTTTTCGATTAGTTCCCCCTCAAAACAGAAACTAGACTTAATGGCCATCTTCGAAGAAAATATTTCATGAATGAGTCAGATTGGTGGCAATAATAAGTCCAAATGTGTCTCAATTGTTGACATAGCTCACTGTTCACTGTTTATTACGTTCACGTAGCCCCTTATCATCTCGCGGGCGTTTAAAATAAAATTTACGGAAAAGGACTTACTGTAATATCCCGGGAGATAGCCCACCTAAAATCAAGAGCAAAGTGGGTGAAAATATGGAGTGGGCTTCCTTTCGGTGTGCAATCAAGAAAAGTAAAAAAATCCTATTTTTAGGTCGTGTGTCCCTTCCAAGCTTCTTATCCGGGCGAGGGGCAACGAAGCAAAGATGACTACTTTGCAGTCAGCAATGTTCGCTTATATCCTGCCATAGCTAACTAGCTGCATTTGCGTCGAGGCTATATCATTGATCCTACACTCTACTATTACTACATGTGGGCTATCTTTTGGTGTTTAAAAAAAATATAGGTAATCAAGCAAAAATTGGGGTGGGCTGTCTTTCGGGGGTGGGGCATCTCGGCGTTTTACGGTTGTGCGAGTGCCAGATCGGCTCGCAGTGCCATATGCCACTTGACGTGTGCTGGTTTGCCAACTCATGAAGGGCTATGGCCGGTCTAGAGCAGAGAGGCGCGCTCTTATGGCCTTCGCATGGGGGGTCGTCAAGATATGCTGTGAAGCAATGTCACGTCATGTGGCCTCGTAATGTCATGTGACGTAGTCGCGTGACACACTGCGTCAAATGGTTTTCAATTTAGAACGTCTCTAGATTTATTAGCGTTGTTGACACCGTGACGTCACATGATATCAGGACTTCGCACCGCAGGTCGCGTTGCACCCTAACGTGCTCGATTGTCATGAGCCGGAGTCGAGTGCTCGGGTTGATGACAATCAGCCTCTGGAAGCATTTGGGTAATGGGTCGTGTTTAGTTAAAGATGAGAATAGCCGAACTCTAACATCCGACGCTCAGCCCATGCTCTATGCTTTGCCACCCCCGGCGCATAACTATCCTGAACACTGACGTATGTATCTAATTAGCGTCAGTTCACGGGGCGTCTTATTCTAATTGCGAGTTGAGGGGGGGGGGGGGGGGGGGTAGCTGTTTCTTTCCTTTTATTTTTTCCGTGTCTGCCATTGCGCGGAGAAGAAAACTAATGGGTATTAGTGTTTTTGCAAGTTATCAACGTCAGGGATTAG